GATAAGCAGAAATCATCCCCAACACTAATCTTGAAGTTCCAGCTAGAAGATTTATAGCTCTATCCTGACTGTTGGCATATTTTTCTTACTGTCCAACCTAAACCTTCCTTGCAACATTTTAAAGCTGTTAATTTTTTGCTTCTTCCATGACTGTCATTCCCATTCATGAAGGTGGTTACAATGTATATATATATTTTGCTTATTTCCCCCCCCCCGGCTTGAACTAAACAGTTCTGGCTCTTCCACTCTTTTTCCTGTCTGTTAATTTTTGTACTTCTTCCATGACTGTCATTCTCATTCATGAAGGTGGTTACAATGTACATATATTTTTTGCTTATTTCCCCCCCACTTGAACTAAGCAGTTCTGGCTCTTCCACTCTTTTTCCTTACAAATCCTGTATTCCAGAGCTGGGACTGGTCTCCCTGCTGTCCCCTGGGCTCCCTGTGCTTTGTCCACTTCTTTTGTGTGGGAAGAGCAGTCAAGCTGGAATAAGTATCCCAGCCAAGGACATAACCATTGCCACGGAGAGTTGCAGGATTGTTTCAGGATTCTCTCCTAACACTATAGTTACACAGTTTACCTTGCTTTCTTTTTCTGCAGCAATATAACATGCTCAATAATGATAACCTTCTCACCCCTTAATTTAAAACAACCAGAACTATAAACAACTGCTCTTTTTCAGACTGAGAGGAGCATACTGATCTTTATTTGGAATTTTGAGAAATACTTAAAATATATATTTTTTCTCAGTGATGGTCTGCATACTCAAACAAAGTGGTGCCCAAATGTAGATCTGGGATTCAACTGGAAGTACCTGCAAAATAATGTGGTGCACAGGAACATCTGGAACATTAATGAAAAAGGGATGTTTTTAAATGAGTCCTTAGAGGTGCCTTAGAAGTAGTACTTTAATTACCACCTCTGCTAAAGAGTGAGAGTTTTCTGAAAAAGCATAACTCCAGCACCACACTTAATCTCAGGTCATCTAGGGACTTAAATTTCTCTAGATAACTGACTAAGGAGCTGATTGCATGCCTCCCTATGGAAGGGGTATCTTATTTGAGGTCTGACTTTCCCACGCTGAGCGTTGCTGACATTGGCTGTGTAGGATTCATGCCTTCATTTTGCCAGGTCCCTCTGAAATGGGTGTTGCTTTCCTGTGACAGCGATGGGAAGGTCCCCTGTGCAATCCTGTTGCCGCTGGGTAGCAGACAGAACAGGGTCCTACATGGAGTACAGAGAACATCTTCCCCTTGTTGTCAATTACTGTCTCCATGCAAATAAGTTTAAGGTTACAAATGCTCTTATTCGTAGTCAATAATCAAAAATATATGCATATTTAGCTTCATGAAGACACTTCTGACAGTATTCAAGCATTGGAAATGCCTTCATATCATTCGTGTTTAGGATTGTATCTTTGAAAAAATGGCTTGGATTTTCTTGTGAAGATTGGCAAAGCACGGATGGAGCAGGCTTCAAGAGAGGGGGCAAAAATTGCCCACATTCGCACGGTTGCTTTTATCCCCCCAAAAAGTTATGCTGCTATATTATAAATGCAGAACATTTTGCAATGGAAATGCTGACAGACTTTTAATAAAGGTAGTATTATTGTTAAGAATTTTAATACAGACAAAATAGTTTGTCCTGCCTTTGTTGCTATTTTATTTCAGCTAGTTAGTAAGTAAATTAAATGAAAAAAACCCACGAGATTTAATTTCCGCACCTGTGTCACAACAAGTCTTTTAATTTGTGCCGAGTTTCTGTACTTGATAAAAAAGAACAGCCAGAGCCTTTCTGATAAATTCAGGTATTCAAACAGAGACAAAACCCCTCCTGCCAGAGCCAATGTTCACTAAACTGGGTTTTCGTGGTGTAGCTGTGGTGCAGATACTACAGAGTTGGTTGATGTAGGGTTTATTTCCTTTGAAAATGCTCTCTTCCTGCTTTTTAGCACACTGGTACCTGAATTGTGCATTTCTAATGAATTTCCATTCAATGAATTTGAGCTGCTTTTCTTGTGATAGCTATTAGAGGCAAATTTTCTAATGCCAGGACATTGTAATTATTCACATCATATCAGCATTCTCAGTATTACTGTGGTACACTGGTACCTGAATTGTGCATTTTTAATGAATTTCCATTCAATGAACCTGCTTTTCTTGTGATAGGTATTAGAGGCAAATTTTCTAATGCCACACATTGTAATTATTCTGATCATATCAGCATTCTCAGTATTACTGTCACTAGTATAGGGTACTACTTATAAAGCACAGGCGCACAATTTACCTCATGTGTGCAATGACAACTTTTCAAACCATTTTGATACGAATTAAAAAAAATCATTTTCCATTGGAAAATATCTTGATTGGAGATTACCAACTAGCTCTAAAAATGCAGTCCTTTCAGCAAAGCCTCACGACTACGCTCACAGGAAATTCAGCATGGGATTTCTTTAGGGGCTGTGAATTGTTATTATTCCACTGAAATCAAAGCTGTCACAAAAACTGCCATAGCCATGCAGTGTTTCTGTCACCTGAAGCTCAAACCAAGATCCCCAAACCCAGCTCCTGAACTTGGCATTTCAGCACATTCTCCTGAGCAGAGTGAAAAAAAAAAAAAAAGAGAGAAAGATTAGTGAATGAAGAAAACAACCACGATAATGGCAAAGCATATCAATTTTGTACATCCACAGGAACATAACAGACTGTAAAACAATTAAACTTTCTGTATTATGCACATTTCTTTTACAATCAGCCCGTTTGTGTCTTCAGAAATTAAGAATGCCTTCTGGAAAGCACAGTGTGCCTCAAAGTTACCCAGAAACACAGCATTCATAGTAGAGCTGCCTTGCTGTCTTTAGCTACTAAGTCTTCCATTTTCTGTTGTTCACTGGCAAAAATAGAAATAACAATATGCAAAATACTGTTGTCTGAAAAAATAACTGTCTTCATATAGCTCGAAGTCTGAAAAACAGGCATGGGGTTTGAATGACTACCCAGGACTGTGTTTCCTTGTAAATGTTCTGCTAGGTCGATCATACTGCGAGTGGCACCATTGGTGGGCAAATCCTTCTTGTTCCGGATTCTTGTTCGATTGTCGCAGCGTTGGCAACATCCTCTCCAAGACGGGGTGAAGACTTTGGTGAGGAGCAGCGGCAAGGTGAGTGCATCTGCAGCACGACTGCCCTCACCATGAGGCATCGCCTCCTCCACCTGGAGGGAGACTCAGTCCCTTGGGTTGCACCTTTCCCTCACCTGGAGCTTCGGGGACTTCTCCAGTTAGGGGATGACTCATGTAGGTAGATACACAGATACACACCTCCATTTATAATTTATTGATGAACAGTAAACTTTAGGGTTTGATTGTGGCAGTAAAGGAAAAACAAGCCCAGTTGAACGGAGTATTTAAAATTGGCTCCAAATCACTAAGGATGAAATTGGCTTTTAAAGTTTACTGGCTGTACTGCAGACTTTTTACCTAAACACTGGAGAGAGTTGTCTGACACTCATATATGCCAACAGGTATTTGCTGGAAAATTGTAATAGAATTTGAAGATTTATGATAGGATTTACTTTAGCAATTTATGCTGCGGAATATAAAGTCTATCCTGCAGCCTTTCTTTGACAGAGCATGACCAGCAGGATTATGATCTTTATTTGTGATTTTAAAGTTTACATTTAGCTCAAGCATTTTAATTTAGATTTGCTTTTCTCTTTTGCTATTAAATGACAAGATGTGAATTTAATACTATTTTAACTTATTTAAGTACCTTATGCAGCTCTAAGGAGAAAAAATAGTATGAATGGAAACCCAACAAGTAAAAGTTTTATGAACAAAACTCTTTAGCAGTCACAGGTATTCAAAACTTCCTTGGCCCTGGCCTTTCTGCTTGTAGATGCTTAATGTTGAGCTTTATATGGGACATTCATCTAGCCCTTTAGAGATCTGTAGAACTTGTGTAGTGACAATACCACAACTTCCAACTGCAAATCAACTGCACAACTGCAAATCAACTCCTCCCTGGCCCTGTTTCTGGCTCAGTAATCATAGAGACAAACGATGCTTCGAATGTGTTACAAAAGGTGCTTATTACTTGCAAAACTATATATTTGACATGTTTACCTGATGACAGACTCACATATGACAGTATTTCCTTCACCTATCAGGCACTCTCAGCAGCACCCAGACGCTAAAAATATATATTTCTTCTGCTGTGACATTAGTTTCTTATTTGTTACCTGGGATTCATTATTGCTATGGCTGTGATTTTATTAGAGGCAAGAACTCATCTAGCATTCATCTCTAAATGACTATTAAATGAAATCATAATTTCCAAACAAATTTCATCATTTATTTGGGGTGAAAGATTTGTGCCTTAATGATGAACTTTCTGGGCAGAGTAATAGATTGACAGTTTCTCTCTTAAGGAACTACCAAATGTTAAATAAAAACTATCTTGAAATGTATTCTGGAATTTTGTGAAGTGGTTTAAAGAACTGCTATGTTTCTGTAATAATGATTGAGAATTTGTTTTAAGACTAATTTACCTTCAACTGTTCTGTGCATCTGCTAAGGGGATGGTAATATTTTGGGTATCCTTTGGAAATCACCAACATTTGAATACTTTAGAGTGATTCTTTTTGGTCTTACAAGGTACAAAATATTTTAAGACGGCATCAAGCTCCTCAAGAGGGGAAAGGGAAAGGATTCCAAGCCAGTTCTTCTCGTGAAAGTTGATAGTTCAAAATCTTGTGTTGAAGAAAAGTAACTAAAGCAAAGTGCTAAAAGTTTAGAAACATCATGTACAGTTCTTTCTTTCCTATTTACTATGGGCCATTTGAAACAGTTAGTAATGTTATATCATCACTTCATATGGCTGGTACCAGGAAGCATGGAAATTATGTAGCCTGGTGAGCAGTTCCACGTTGAGTCCCTGCATGTTGAGTAGGATGGACTGCGCTTCCCACCTTTGCATCACACTGTCTCTGTGTGATCCCTGGAAAAGGCTGATGTGGTTTGAATATAATGTGTTTTGTCATCTGGCCATGCCCTCTGACACCATGGCTTCATTTCCACGCTTCCACCCTTCTCCCTAATTTGTTCAAAAGCAGAATGTGAAATGATGAGTTTGCAATGGCTGCTGTTGAGCTAGGCAGATGTCTCTCCAGATTTTAATGCAACGAGTTCAGAGTCATCTATGTATCTTCCATTTAGCTGTTCGTTGTTGGAGTCATGATGGTACAAGTAGACGGGGACCTCTGTGATGGACGTTGCCGTGTAGGAGGTAGATCGCGTGGAACAGTGCTCTCGGCGCCTTTGACCCCACTGTGTTTTATACTGTGTCCATTGTCTTTTCAAAGCTCCTTGTACCTGTTAAAGAAATGCATAATTAGAGTGAGGCAAAACTGCAACTCCCAAAGCTGCAGTGAAGGCAGTTCTGCTTGCTGCAGTGACGCCTTGCCTGTCCTTTGCTAAGCCATTGGCTGCAAGCACCAGGACCAGTCCCCTCTCTCCTCCCCTTTTCCCTCAGCTCCAGAAGCAAGAACAGTGCAGTTGTTCAGCTCTCTGCTCTAGGTTCTTTCCTGTCTACCCTATGACAGCAATCAGATTTTCTGCAGTTGTTGATGCATGCAAAGAGAGCATACGGGTTAGCCATTTCTGTAGGAGGTAAATGTGGAATAGACTGATGTACAAGAATGCAGTAGGATGCTGCTTTGGAAATGGGAGAAGGAAGGAGGGTGGGGGGTTAAAACTCAACTCATGCTGCAGTTGGATTCTTTCCCCTGGAACGGCTAATACATCATGAACTTCTGTCTTGAAAAAATTTAACCTTGAGTAAAACTAGCCATGAATGGCAGAATGTAAGTACACTTTATAAGCTTGCCAGGACTACATTTGTACAAAGAAAGATTTGGAGGATTTGTACAGATGAACAGAGACTGGGCTCTGCTCATTTATGAGAGTTGGTAGTTCTGTGCTGGCATAAAGTTAGCCTTGGTCACAGCCCTCTGCATAGCAGAGAATTTCAACCTGTGGATATTCATCTTCTGGGAAAGCATCTTTTATTTAGCATGTATATTAAGCATGATGTTTTATATAGAGCAAGGTTATGATTTATGATGAGCTGTGCAGGGAATAAGAGCCCCTTTTCAGGCTGCGCATTCAGGCGTGCTGGAACCTGCTTGCTCTGTCCCAAAGGAAGTGTTGAGATGTGAACAGGGGGTGGGCAAACCCTGGCTTCTCTCCTTCAGTTTAGCTATGTTAGCCCAGAAAATGTAATGTGCTATAAATTGCTTCCACCAGAGGAAGGGAGAAGCAGGTAAGATGCTGGGACTTACAGGAGCATCCTGGAGTTACAATACCCCTGCTGAGACAGATGCTGCATGTGACTTTTTGGTCAGGGAGTTTGCTCAGTAGCAACTCGAAGCTTCATGCAGAAAGGCGTCTTTGATTCAGGCAGAAAAATTTGAATGACTTCAGTATTTCTCACGTCTCTACAATTCTAATCACTCTATGAATATGTATATAGTAAAATGTGATCTACTCACCACCCACAGCTGCCTGCAAGAAAGCTGTTTCATGTCATATAAGGAAAAAGCTTCATAAGGAACTACTATAAATCTGAGATGCTTACTGAGTGCAGTGGGACCATGCAGCATGCCAAGAACGGCTATTTCATTTGCTCAAGCTTTTTATTTTCATGCCAAGGAACAAGACAAGGTATGAGGACTGATAGTATAACTCCTTACTCATGCAAGTAGCTGCACTGACTGCAGGACGACTACTTTTTGAGTAAAGAGTTGTTTGCTAGACTGGTCATTTAAAACTCACTGAAAACTATGCCCATATGTCCATGCCCGATTTCCAATACTAGCTGTTTTTCTTTTTGTTATGATTTTCTCAAGACAATATAGTTAGAGTTCTTTTCATCTAGAAAAATGTATTGCTGTTCTCATGGCAGATAAAGAAAAGAAACCAAAAGCTGATGTAGGTTAACTAGATATCAAGAACAGAAAAGGCACGTGGTTACAATGGAACTTTAATTACTGGCATTATGAAAAAGTTCACTATGCTAATGTTGAGATTCAAAGCTAAAAGACTGCATGTGGGGATGCTTCATGTTACACCATTGCCAAAATGTATTAGTAAGAAAAAATTACTGACACATAAGCTGCATCCTGTTTGGATTTTAGTCACTTAATTTTTTATTTTTTAACATGATAGTGTTCCACATGAATACTGTAGCTTTGTCATCCAAAAATGCATAAGAAGAAACTGGAACAAGCAATCTTCACAAGTCAGAGAATTTTCCTGATATCATTCTGGGGCAGCAGTTCCTAATGGACCTAACAAGAATCTGAGGCCTGCACGCTGGCTCTGCCTGCCAGGAGCCAGTGCTCTCGTGCTGCAGCAGTGGTCTAGAGGGGTTTCTAACCAAGAGCACCTTTGGCCACTTCTGCCCCTAAGGCTAATACTGAATGTGTTTGTATTTCACAGAAATTAGTCCTTTCAGATTAATCTTGGGGTCTTTAGTAAAGGTGCTAAGAAGATGTTCTTGTAGCCCCTCCGTTCCCTTCCCAAACCCCGCACAGACCCCAAGGTCTCTGTGAAGGCTTTGATTACCCTCACACGGTGAGAGTCTGGGGATAGCACAGCCAGCTGAAGAGAGGGCAATGGGCATCTCATGGAGCCATGTAAAAGCTGCAGGGAGAAGTTCATGGCTCTGTTCTCAGATAGGAGCGATGTTTATATATGGTTTGGAAGAGAACAGGCATATCCCTTCCAGTTCAGCCTACGAGTAGAAATACCAGTTGTTAGATTTAAAAGGCTCCATGGATTGTGACAGCACCAGGTCAAAGCAGCTGTGTTGTTATTCTCCACTGAGCTGCTGGACTTTACGAGAATCTGACCACAAATGGGTAATGGCTAATACAAGCTGCTGAGCAGGAATGAAACAACGTGTTAATCTATATTTCTGTGCTAACTCCAAGGACCTCAGATGATCATAATTCAGTGCCAACTAAAACTAGGTTTTAAATGTGTAAGCAGCATTTATTGAAAATCACATGCACAGTCAGAATGTATTAGCAACCAGGGGCTGGGCAGGCTGCTCTCTGAGATGGCCGAGGAAGGAAAATAAAGCCTACAAAAAAGAAGAGCCTACATTTGTTTATTCTGCTCTTCAAGACCTTAAAGTGTTTTCTGTTCTCTATTACACACTCATGCCTCTTTGGCATACAGGATATACGACTTCTTCTTCTTCTTCTTCTTCTTTTTTTTTTTTTTTTTCAGACTTTCCGTTTTGTTGGCCAGCCTTTCAGTCTAGAAGAAATCTCAGGACTGGAAATATGGTCTGGTGAGCTGACAATTGCAAAGACCCTATATCATCTGTGCAATGCTATTTTTACTGGAGGGAGAAACTATAGTGCTCCTTGACTCTGAGATTTTATATGAAAACGAATGAGAAATTCATCATTTAAAAAGTACTAAAAAAAGCTATTATTTGTAAGTTTTCCTATATTAATGCAGAGAGCTTCTTACTCAGTATTTTGGCATTTCTTTCTGCAGATGGGTTTGTTGTGGTGCTGAAGTGAGGTAGGTGATGTAGCTGGCTGTGAACACTGATAGAAAACACTGCCAGGTGGTACTGAATTTAGCATTGTTTGTTCTGGATAAACTTCATGGGTTTCAGCCTTGAAGTGAAGTATTCCAGTAGTAAAAAATAAATCACGGAATATGCAGCCTCCTGTGTTACTAAAACTAATCATTTTGCCCCACACTGAATTTTCCCATTCTCTATGACCCTAGCTGTGGACAGACACAGCAGTTGGCACGTTCCATATCATATGACTGAAGAGGAGTCATGGCTTTGGTCTATATCTGTTCATACCACATTCAGCAAAAGTCCTGGGAAATTAGCTTAATTTTCTTGGGCAACCTAATTCAAATCAGTACATGATGGGAGTGGGGATGAACACAGCCCCTTTCTCTCCCTTCAGAAGTTCCTAATGACATTCTGGTGTCTGGTGCTACTCCCTAATAGCTTTTATGCCTTATATATCTGCCACTTGTGCATATACAAGAAAAAAATGACACTTTGAAGACAGGAGTCATAGTTCTTTTGTTCTCTTTTCTGGTACAGTGCATCACAGCTGGTTCAGTACAGTTATGTTATTATGCTATTTATTGGTCAAATGCTGATGCAAGTACCCACAGTTTGTCTTGAGTCTGTATGATAGAGATGTCATCTTGGGTCTCTGTCCACTGTCGTGGGAAATTCTTAAAAAGCTTCCCCTTTCTGGTGATTATAATTTTCAATCAGAAAGTAATGAAAGAGTTTCTAAACACCCCTGTGAGTAGCTGTTGGGCAATCTGCATGTCTGCAGCAGATAGATTGATAAAATTTTGGAAGCTGGAACACCCAAGCACCAACAGAAATCGCACTAGGCATGACTGGGGAATCTGAATCTCAACTGCTGTTTGTTCCTACTACCTGATGCTGATGAATATTTCTGATCAGTCATGCCATGAAGGATTCATTAATCCTTCAGGCAGTCTGTAACTACCTGGGTGTAGCCAAGGCATCTATGTGATTATCTACAGGAGCAACACAGTAGAGGTCTGTAAGACACACTTCAACATCAGATTTGTCTTTTTATTTCATTTTGTCCTCTGCCCTTTACAGATATGTGCCTGTGATCACCAGGATTATAAACTCAGAGAGCCTTTGAGATGTCCTCTCAGTGGTGCCATGCTGATCACACAAATCAAAGGCAGATGTCTAGGTCATGGACTTTCACAGGGAGGGACTCTTTCTCTCGTCGGCTGCCAGATGTGTTGGAAAGATTTTCCGAAGTGAGTAGGTGTCGATGACTATTGTCATTATTCAGGGTTTGTATTCAGACCATGCAACTTTGGTCTGTATACGAAGCTAGCTGCTGCTATTACAGTTTCCTAACAGCAGCTCAGTTTTATGCAGAAGTCCACAAAGTGAAGAGTGCCTCAGAGACTGGACATTTGAGTATCATATATGATTACGGCATATTTCCTTTTGCATTCCCAAATAAATGCAACCCAATACATAATGAGCAAAAGAAAGTTGTGATTATTTTAGACTCAGTTTCATTTCTGAAATGTGGCTTTGTTTTTTTTCTGCCTAGCACACTATAGGATAATTAATCCAATAGATAAATTCATACCTAATCATCTAATTTTCAGTTAACTGATACATTTAGTTATGATATTGGCATCATTATTGGGTACCTTGAAAATTATATTAGTGGAACTGTAAAGCTGGATATTTTTTGACACTTCAGCACTGACAACAGTAATCAAGCAGTCTTTAAGAAGTTTTATGTTTTCTGTTCATTTTTTGCTGTTTTTTTTTCTTCCCACTTTTAGCATTGCTACAGCCTTTAGTCTAGGCACAGATCCATATATTCTGGAGAATTACAGAAGAACTGATCTTTTACCATGAAGCTGTAAAATACTAAACAAATATGTTCTGCAAAAACTAGCCTACAATATTTTTCACGTGATACTGAGGGAATAAAGGTGAAAAAAGTCAATGTTTAGGACCAGGATTTTGGGGCAACACATTATTCTGAGGCAAGCAATGACATGCAGGAAGACTGCCTGTACATAGCTATGCAATTATTTCTACAGGGAGAGAATGTTTCAGAAATTTCCTGGCTGGTTTCCTCTTTCTGCATGCCAATTCTTTCTTACTAGAGAGAATCATAACCCTTTACTCTCCATATTTCAGGAGTATGGAGGATGGACTGTGTCAGTTAGTGATGAGTAAGGCAGAAGAGAAGTATGTTAGGAGCCTGCAGATCCCAGGGGCAGAAATGTGGTGTGAATAAAGAGAGTATATCTTTGGAACCTTGTTTAACTGGACCTCTCTCTGGAATCAGAGAGTGAGCTACTGCAATGTGATATTTAAGGCTATCATTTCATTTTAGGTTTGGTGTCATTACCTGCCCATGGTTTGCTATTCTCTTTTATGTCTCCTGAGAAGCCATGCTACAGAACTGCAGTGGGAGGCATCCAATCTTTTGTAGTACTGCATTTCTCTGTATCTTTAATTGGCAAGCCAGCCAAAAGCAAAGGTACAATGATGTGGAAGCAGAATGTAATGCACTGTGTCCTCTTGAAAAATAGCAAACCAGTCAGTAGCACCTTATGAAAAAGGTAGCTCACTTTAAGTCACTACACAAAATCAGTGTGCTCACATAATTACTGGGAACTTGTTATTTGCTAATAATATACAGGGATATATATAAGCATGGATATCTCTTTAGGGTGACACACTGAATTTTGGCATCACAAATCTTGCTCTAATAAAGGAATATGTGCATCTAATTTATCTGCACTAGACTCAAAATTAACTTTTTAAAGTTAAAAGTTTTTAAAGTGCTTTCTAGATTTTCAAAGTTATGTGGTATTTCATTTTGCTACAGTTAAAAGCTCCTGATGTATTTGAAAACATTTTGCTGCTAACTATCTTTGGAAAATTACTTTGCTGTAGCAATTTAAGCGGCTCTTGACATGCCTTAACTAGCCATTTTTATTAAAACAAGAAAAATCAGTGAAGTGGACCTAAAACAAGTTGTAAAAGTTAAAACATTGATCCAGCTGTAAGAGAATGGGAGACCTCTTTCACTCAAAGGCTTTTATTTCTCAATTACTACTTGAGAAGCACAGGCCTTAAAAAGGCCAGTGCTAATCCTTGAAGGAGTAAAAGCAATTGCAATCCTTCAGGCTTCTTTGACCTGAGGGCACTGCTGGTGATGGCTTCTCTTTCTGCTCTTTTGGCTTAACCCAGCATGCTGGTTGTCCAGGCCACCCCTCTCAAAGGGCCCTACAGCTTCTCCCAGGATATTGCAATAATTTCATGTCATTCATCTAGCTACTCTGGGGCAAGAGGTAAAGTTAAATAGTAGGAAAGGGAGATGAAGTAGATGATTGCTTTTCTCCTTTACCTTGACCTCTATTTTAGATTAAACTGTGCAGGGTAGGGGTGAGAATCTCTTGATGGTACCTCACTTCATGTGGTCTTCTTTGCAAGGATAACACTCCCCAGTCATCCCCTCAGAGAAACTCAGGTCAGGCTCTGTGCAGAGCTTTGAAAAGTGCACCGTGCAGCGTACTGCTTGCACATATAGACTAAAGTGTGCTGTTTTGAAGTTTGCAGCTGGCCAGGCTTCTTTTCTCTATTAATGAACAACCAGGTGACTATTTACCAAGTTTCTGATCATTTACTGTATTGTGCATGCTTACCTCGCCATTGAAGAAGCAGAATATAGTTGCAACGAGCAAGCCCTAAGAGGAAGAAAAATACAAATTTTAGTATACGTCACTGTTACTGCCCTAGCTGGAAGTTTAGAGTCACAGGGTAAAAACATCAGTCCACTTCTTCCCCAACTCAGCTATTTCTTCTAACATCCCCCTATTCACAGTTACATTATTGTATTGACTTCTGCCTTTTTACTATTTAAAATTTTCTTTAGTATTATTAGTATTTCTAGATCACCCATTTTAAAGGTAAAGTTGTTTTTATACAACAGGGAGCTACAGAAGGGAAATTAAGATATTTTGCTGTTAGAGTACCCCCACTGACACTAATTTTTCTGAGACAGGGAAGAAGAATAGAGGCACAGATGATTCCCCTTATCCATCAGGTTGCAGTTGCTCAGTTGAAGTTAGCCAAGGAAAAGCAAATGCCTCAGAAAGCTTTCAAATTGAAGTGCCTGTTAGGATAAGAGAACCTGCTTGGGGTGCTGTGGGATGGATAGTGAACGTAAAAAGAGGTATTAGTAATGGGAAAAGGGAAAAAAAAAAGAAAACAGCTGAGAAGAGGTGTGGAAGAAAAAAAAAAAGACCGAAGGTTCAAGTTTACTCCTAAACTGCTCAAAATTAATGCAAATAGTGCAATAGTAGTCCAGATAGCATTTCACTATGTCTACAAGATTAAACATGGCCAAGCCAGGAGCATGAGGTGATGAAATAGGAAGTACAAAATTAATATGACAAAAATTTCTCATACCCAGACCTGCCATTCAGAACATGCAATTAAATTTGCCCATGTTCTAAATAATATTAGCTCTCATTAACACAGCATTACATAACAACACTGAACGCCAAATTCATTCATTTAAAATTGCTTAAAGTATTTATAATAAACTAAAGTGATGCCAGTTTGTGAGGCTGAAAAACTGCCATACAGCAGCTTACATTCCCAAGGGCTGCTCTGAAAAGTGTTACAGCTGTGCCTTTTTTATAAGTCCTCGTTTAACTGATTACAAGTCAACTTGTAACTAACACTTTCTAAAACAGGTCTTGGACTTTCAGGTGTATATTTTGGACCACAGATATATGTTAAGTGGTAACTCCTTTTTACTAAATGCTTATATATTAGACACATAGAGGCTATTTTGAAGACGTGTTAACCACTTGAATGTGGGCGATTACTCTGCTGCAGTAAATTTGTGTTTATGATTTAAAATATGAACATAGGAAAACACCTCTAAGGAGAAGGAGATAGTATAGATAGGGTGAGAAAAAGAAAGCTTCTCAGATTTTTGGAATAAAATGTGAATATCTCAGAAATCTCGCAAATTTAATTTCACAATATGCAATAATTCATCAATAATTCCAGGTCGGAAAACATCATGAAGTTCTCCAAAACTTTATGCCTCTAAAGCAGGACTTTTGTAGACCACACACACTTAAATTCAAATTTATCCAGGGGAAGCAAACATTGCATCCATAAAAATATGGAATATTCTTTATCACTGTGTGCTGCATTAATTTGCACAGAGCCTTGCAAAACATCTGCTATTGAACTGTATGGTACGCAGGCTCATCGGGGATTTTACCATTTTGCTAAATTATAAGTGTCTACAGTGACAGCAGTCTGCCACGATGGGAAATGAGATGGACCTTCTAATCCTCTGGATTAGAAACTGCCCATGGATGATCCACATGAGGCAAGACAGTCATAGTGTCAAAAGACACTAGATAGAGAGGAAGAAGCAGAGGAACTTTTTTCATAAGTCTATTCTTTAATTGGAGAGTTTAGCCAGAATTTGTGAACTGGAGGTCACATTAAGGCAGAAACTGAATCTGAACAACTGTATGGTATCTGCAGGTCTCCGTTACATCCTACAGTTGCTCTACTTCTTTGCTTTTCTTGCAGTGGATAGTTTCCTTAACAAGTGTTTTTTTTTTTTTTTTCCAGGCATCTTTTCATAACAGTGCTGAAGAAGAAGACATGGTGATGTCTCATTTATCTCTTCTGTTGAGAACAGATCAGGTTCCTCATTATTTTGAGGCTGTGGATAAAGTATGTCTCTGCTGGCTGCAGGAATTATTTTCTCCTTTTTGCCCCACATTCAGTGCTCTGCTCTTCTCCCAAGACCTGTAGCCCCCTGGGATCTGCCAGCTGAAATGATTTGTGTTTGTTCCTGAACCTGTTTTACAGTGTGGGGGACACAGTGACAGATGTCTCTAGCAGACTTCTTGATATACGTGAACTTGAGCACATTATCCTTTTTATTTCTTGCCTGTCAGATTTCCAACATTACAGGATACTCCGCTATTTTGTCTCTTTTCTCCTTCCTATATGAATACGAAATGTCTCACAATTTTACTCCCAATTTTATCTTGCAGTAAGTCTATTTTTTCAAGAGGATAAAATTCTTTATGTAGATGGTGACCAGGACTCTGTTCATCTACAATTTGGGAACAGTTTTCCTGTTTTAAAGTTATATATTTACTTTAGTACTTCTTATATAACAGCCTTCTATGTAAGATGGACAAGTGGGAAGAAGTAATAGTGAAGAAATTATCTCAAAAACCAAGTGTCCTCTGAAAGGCTAAAAATATAAGAGGGAAAAACAGACAAATGGAAAATCTGTAGTCTGAAGTTATAACACTGAATGAAAGAAGTGTTATAGCATTGAATGTGCCCCCCTTGCAGCCATACAGAGAACAACAGGTCAGGCCCATTGCTCCCTGACAATCACAGGGGCTGGCACTGTGTCCTGGCATCCTTGAGACATCATTGTGGGGATCTCATTTCTGCAGCTCTGTACGGGCAGTTCAATGCCCTAACAGAAGGAACAACTTGGGCAAAAAGTCCTTGTTCTCCCCTTGCCTCCTGGAAAGTCTAGAATAATATGCAAGAAAACCTGATATTTTTATATATAAATATATAACACATATATATATCTAAAATAAATATATAATATATAAATTTATATATTGATGTAAATTGATAAACTGCTTGTTTTTAATTAGAGTAAATATTAAAATGGTTCTGCATGTTGCTCAAATTTTAGCTTATTAAGGCTTCAGGATTGTTATCTTGATTGAGAGTTGCCATCTCACTGCGTTTGGTAAAATATATGTATAACTAAACAAGGTGTATCTGACCCTGCCAGATCCTTCATGCCTATTCATCTCTATGATGCCTTTATCGTAACACACAGAATCACAGAACGGTTGAGGTTGGAAAGGACCTCTACATCCAACATGCTTTCAATCACAGTCCAAAAATGCTGCTACATGCACAATTACTTCTATTTCTATTTCTATTTTTTTCTGCTTCCCATGTAAAATTCTTCCCATACCTCAGTCTTGCGTGTACCTTCAGTTGTAAAGCTGTGCAGCTGCAGAAGCAGCTAATATCAGTAGCAGATATTAATTCTGTCTTTTCTTGACTAGAGGACTGGAGAGGCACTGATATTACAAAATATCAAAATATATGACTATGGATGAGTATGCATCAAAGTATATGAATATGGATTAATTTTCTGATGGCAGTCCAAGGGTAGTTCTTATATTTCTTTTATATAAGTCTTTCTTTTTTTTTTTTTCCCCTTTAGTTGCTGCTGTTTTTTGAGCAGGGTGCAATCCTTGCCAAGGATGGGCTGTCTGGGTCAATTATATCTCTCTGCCACTGTGTGGAGTTGTTAAACTGACCTGTGATATATTGGCTGCTGATAGTAGGATAACAACAGCTGTGGGATTGAAGGCAGATGAGAGGAATACTTTTACTTTGAGACTAAGGCCTTTCGGAATTCTTCATTTTATTTCTGGGACTTTGTGAAGACCAGATGAACATGGCTTTCTACTGAATCATGTCTTAGGGACTGTCCAGAGTCTGCAACTCTGAGAACTTCACGTACCTTTTTGACCAGACAGTGCACTTTTTCCCTGCATTTAAATGCCTGTATAGGTCCAAGGACATTCTTTGTTTGACAGGTATTTGATTTGGTTTTCACTGTCTTACAAGAGGTGTGTCTTGAACGATGGAAATGATGTTCCAATAATTTACTTTTTTTTTTTAATTTAAAACATATTTAAGAACAATTAAAAAAAAAAAAAAAGGTTTCCCAATGCAGATACTGAAAATTTAGACAGGTTTCTGATATCTCATTTGGGTTTCTTTCTATCTCATGTTTCCATAAAAGAAACATAGGTGTTATATGTGCTTATGAAGAAGCAGCTATACGGTCTCAGTCTCTGCCCTAGTTATACACTGTGTGTCCTACAGGCTTCAGTGGGATTCATGATTGACAGCAGAGGCTGAAGGCAGAGGTTGTCCCATTCTGGGTGGTATGATACAGTCTCCAAGCCCCAAAGCATCGTGTTGGAGAGTAAAATCAGGGAGAGGGGAGAGCTAATGAAAGGAGCTTGGGAGTGGGAACTCCTTGGAGAGCATCTGGCTGGGGAGGGCTAGATTAGGGCTTAATGTATATATGTAGGGAGTATTGCATTTCCCTTATATTTCTCAGGTGCAGGCAAGCCTGTTGGGAGTGGGAGTGTCAGGCACAAGCAATGCCTGTGCTGTCCTCTTGCATCAAAGAGACCCAGCAGGCTCCTCAGTATTCTTATATTCCCATTCCACACAAGACACAGCTGCTGTTGTTCCATTCCTTCAAGGGAGGCAACCTATTTGTTCCATTTTGGTTTTGTAGGGCAGTACAGTAGGATGTTGCAGGCTTTGAAGATAATCTAATGGATATGTTGTTGTGTGAGGGGTGTGCGAGGAGCCAGTGCATCTCATGCAATATTGTTTTACACCCTGAACGAAAGTGCATCCTTCTATAAGCTTCCAGCATCTATTTCTAATGGGCTTTTGAAAGTCAAGTCCTCTAGAGAAAATCTGCAAATCACTTTCAGTTCTGTAATGCAAAGTTTGTTTACAGTGCCCACTTTAGGCTCACTCTCTGTCTAATTAGCTAGCTGCATGTTCATCAATCCACAGAAAGCAACTCACTCTATGCACAAGTTACTCCAAGGTTGAAGTATCTTTCTTTTGCCTCACATAATCTTCATTTCAACAACATCCGAGCCTGAATAACTCATGCCAGGGATGGTGAGGGGAGTTAAAAATCTCTGCTTCTGCAGTTTACGTGAGGGCTGATGGGCAGGTTGGAAAAAGTATATGCACCCATATTGGGAGTCTTTGATTTTTATAACTTATTACAGATCCACTCAGTGGATTTCTTAAGGCGAATCAGGTCTATGTATAATAAGCAACACAGTCAGACAAAAGTGAGGCCTTTGTGATTGCTCATATAGTCATATTTGAAAAAAACCCTTCTGCCTAAAATGGTGAGCATTGAGGGTAATATTGCAAAGAGGGGAGAACAATTCAAAGCCAAACCAGCTTCTGCTATGCAAAATTGTCTTTAGCAGAGGAAGTCTAGCAAGTAATGTCTCACTGAATTTATTATTTTTTCAGCTGTGAACACCACTCTCTAAAGAAAATACTGTGCGCAGTTTCATCTGGGAGCACATTCTCTCTCATCCACTCTCTTCAATCATCTGATTATTACAATAGGCCACAGTGCTGGTTTATACCTATGTTGGGTGCATGGCTAATAAATCATTGTGGTCACTTAAAGCAGGGATATATTGCTGAAAAACTGCCTCTCTCTCTGTTCAAGAAAAGGTATGGAAAAAAACCCATTGTTTAACCACTTAAAAGATGAATGGAGAATGTGCTACATTAACCACATGAAGAAATACCATGATTACACACATAATGTCTGTTTGTAAATGACTGACATAGAAGGGCTTAAGAGACTGCTGCTAGTTATGGAGAGGCAGGCTGTACTGCAGTTTATGAGGGAGGAAGAGCCAGGGGAGGAATATCACCATCAGACACACTAATGCAGTATCTGCTAATTACATAATCACTCCTAGAAGAAAATGAGCACTAGAGGAAGGATAACATAGCTGGCTGTTTTAAATATGCATACAAGAAATGCTTGGGAAGGGAATACGATGGTTTAGTTGAGAATACAATTTTAAAAATCTGCTTTAAGAAGAAAGCGGGAGTCACCATTGGTTACAGACAACGAGTGAACAGAATGACTCTCATGAAAGACCAGTTTTTATACGCAGGCAGGTAGCATGCTGAGATAATTTTCCTGAGCTTTCCAGGGCTCCCCTGCAATCTTAGGAGCTTGATCTGCATCATGGTAACACAGCTAGAGCTCTGTGTCACCGCTCTTGCCAGGACAGTGCTGGGTGGCACCTCTGCGTCCACACTGGTGTCCCCAGCGCTGACACCCCTGCCATGATGGTCCACAAGGAGCACTGCTGGGCATGTGAGGATGCTAAGCCTGGGACAGACTACTGTTTCGATGACTGGGACCAGAGCAGGAGCGGCCCAAAGGAGATGAAACTTGTTCTCCTTGGATCCCTCGTTTGCCCAATCCCATCCTTTGTTACTGCTGAGTTTCACGGTACTTTCCTTCCATTGCTGGTTCCCGTTTGGTCCCAGACTGGCTACTTCCTCTTGTATAGTGATCATAACTAGAATAGTTAATTAATACTCTTTTTGCAGTTCTCTGACAACCTTGCGGGAATTGGAATTGTTTTTAGTGTAAAATGACTATTTTAACACTCTAATTTATCCTAAATCGCTAAACTGTAAGCACCTTGACACCAGAAAAGCATGTTTGGACACATTCCTTGAGAACAACCTTGAGATCCCTTAAGTGACAACGCAGCAGTACAGGCAGCAGCGTAAGAAACAGACTATCATTACTTTAAGGATTGCAAAATAAAGATGTCGTAAAGTGCAAAAATAAGCATCTTCAATCATTCTATACATGCAGTAGCATATGCATCCACATTTTTGGAGGGGAAAGTTGGATTTTTACTGTAGCAGAAAATGTAGACAGAAAATGTAGCAGAAGATGACAGGATGGATAGATTCTGTTAAGGGAGCTTATCATTTAACTTAAGGAAAGAAGCACCACTGATTTTTTACAGCTGTTCACTTACTGCATTAAAACAAATTTTCAACTTTCTGCATTAAAGAAACCAAGAAGTGCATCACTGTGCCTGTGTATGTTGCACACCGCTCAGAATTGCATTCAAAATCTGCCCTTCCTGCTAAATATTGGCCTGGATATATTGCAGCCAGTAAACCAGATAACCAGATATTTAACATGATTTAGCATTAAAAAAGAAAGAGAAAATAAAACAGTTCTAATTTAAACTGCTTAATGGTAGAATTCTAACTCTTAAAGAAGTTTCACTGTCTTTATTATGCATTCCCTCCACACAACACAACTAATACACAACTAATTTTAATGCTAACTTCATGGTAACAGTTACAGTCAGTATGAATGCTCTGGTAAGAATAACGCTTCGAACATTATTTAAAGCCTCTTCTGATCTCAGGTTTCTCTATTTAATTTAGAAATAGCACTATCTGATGATTTTTGTTGCATTTTTCATTGTTTCCTCTGTCTTATGATTGTGCTTTATTCAACAATACTATATTTGCAGAGGAAGATAATCCAATAATGTAAAAGTGATTGGGAAAGAAACACAAACCACAATCACACTCATTTTCATGGCAAAACAGTTGGCAACAGCAAGTACTTAGTACTTAACCTGCTATTATGTAACATACCTGGTAATGCATTAATATATGCATGATGTAATCATATATTTCTCCAGCAAGTCGATTTTCTGGTCTCCAGGGGATAATAACAAACTGAATTCCTAGTAAGGGCACCAGGATTAAAGTGGCTCTGACAGCTTTCATGTACATGTTGGACTCAGCACGGTGAGTATCTCTTAGCTTTGTCACCAAAACTCGGACGATGTTAAGCAAAAAGAAAAAATTGACCTGCAAAAGCAAAGAACTTATTGTCAAAGCATTTGAATTAAATAGGCATTCAAAATAAAAACATAGTGCATATAAATTATAGTAAAGTATAACTTTCTAGCTTCATTGAACTCATGAGGAGCAGTTTCTTGAGTGTCTGGCGTTGGAGAGTAATCTTGAATGTCTTAAGACAGTAGGTGTTAAGCAGCTCTACATGTGTCCCCCAGGACCTGCCTGAACGGATGTGTCAGAGAAGCTGGGCACCCTTCTAGAAAGCACTCTTATTTTGACACTGCTGTGGTCAAATGTGAGATTTCCAGGGCACAATTCACCTCATGTCTATCCCAAAATCTCAAACAGTGTAGATGATTTGCCCTCGGAACTGACCCTCTCTCCTGACTCTGAAGGTGACTCCATTGAGGGCTATATCATGGTGAGACAAATCCCCACTGTGTCTCTGGGCATACGAGATGTATGTGGACATATGTCTTCTCCAAGGAACTTGGGCTGGCATACATAGGACAATATTCAAACTCTTGAGAAAAATCTAGGCTTACCCTTACCACATAAAGCCCATGGTATTTTCTCCACAGGTTAAAGCTAAAATTGCTGGTTCAAGGCAGAAAGGCTGAACTTTTCAGAAAGTTTTGACTCTTTTGTTAGTTATTCTGACTAGTTTATTTCTTGAGTCATTTCTGGAAATTTGAGTTCAGCTGCAGGTGCTCAGTATATGAAAACCTGCTCTTGACCCTGGCTTCACAGATAGGTCATTGCAGGGCAGGTTGGGAGTCTGTGACAGGAACAAGCTGGGTAGATGCATGATGAAGACAATTCCAGAGGGAACTAGGTGGATATAATAGATATCACTTCTGAACTTTAAAGGGCTTTTTTTCATATAATGTTTTAAAATAAGTATTTTCTTGCATAACTAACAGTTATTTTAATAGCCAGTGTTCCATAAATACACGAGAAACTTCATCTGGGCCTTTCAGAACAATAAACCATGAAGCAGTAACCTTTAATAAACCATTTCATAAGTTCTTTGCCATTGAGAAATCTTCCAAATATTCTACTTGGAAAAAGGAATAATAAATGACTTCTGAGGTCCCATTCTGCATTAAATCTTAAACTTATTCTCCATCCTTCTCTAACTTCACTCACACAGCTTAACCTTCACTTTTGAATTTCTTGAGATAATTGTGAAAGTTGGGAAAAGACTTTGCAAAGGTAAAAGTGTCTAGGTCTTCTGAATCAGTCTGTAACTATGAGGTTTTTGTTGCAAATCATTTAGGTTGCTCTTTAAAAATTTCCATTTTCACAAGAAAAATATGACTGCAAATGGCATAAACACATGCCAGAAATTATAAAACCTTGTTTTAAAAATAAAGATTGTTCTTTTTCCATAAAATATATACTTTTTTTTTGCATTGTGGCTAAGAGGAACAAACTTGGAGCAGGGCAATGACCTGGAACAGGTGGAATGGCAATCCCTAGAACCAGTACTGTGATAGCAGAAGCAATCTACAGAGAACCAACACATAATAAATTTAATTCTTAAAGAATGGCAGACTGTGAATATGGGGAGAGGTTTCTGCTTCTAAGTATTGCTGACATGCAAGACTGTTCTCAAGACAGGGCAGATTTTCAGATTTTTCAGATACTCTTACATGGAGGGTTGTTCCTTTATTTAGAGATGTTCCATGTGTTCACTGTCCTGCCATTCATTCATTACTGCACGTATATAACAGAAACGTCTCTGCATGTTTCAAGGTCAGCTCCACTGCACTAAACAAGACATTGCTAGCATATAAAATGCTGTATATGCATATTAGAAAGTTATGCCTTGTCCTATGTTGCTCCTACAGAGACACCCCAGTCCAGACTCTTTCCTGGCCTAGTTCAGCTCACTACCTTTGGAGCATATAGTGTAGAGACCAGTAAAACCAGTGCTGACCAACCAGCTTTCATTCACTCGCAGTCTGTCATTCAGCGTTTGTCACAAATAACTCTCCATGGAGCAGAGTGGCAGCTGTGGTTTTCAAAAGCAGTTGGTGATCCTCTTTGCCTCAATATCTCATTCCTTACTGGGAGATCCCTTTACAGGTCTGATTTTTGAAAAGTATTGGGTGTATGTTCTCTTACAATGTATGTCCTTTGCAACAGAAAAAAATCAACAGCTACTTTCAGTTTCTACCAGAATACTTAAAATACATAAACTTCTATTCTATGCAGGTTACCAGCCTCTCTAACGTAATTATTAAGCTGTTGATAGAAAATAATATTCTTACCAATAAAGCTGCCATTACAGGTCCATGAACAATATAGAGCAAGTAAGTGTCAACGCTCATCCAGCAGCTGCAGGGGAAATGCAACATTAAAAATATACCATTAATTCAAATGAATTGTGCTACACAGTTAAAGCTAAGTTACTTAAATAACTGACATACTACTCACTTGTCATTGAAGTATTTGGCTCTTGCAACAGCATGAATAGATGCTGGCACTAAGGGGAACCCTGAAATGATTAAAAGCATAATTAAGTCTTGGTATTTTTTTGTCTTGAAGTCCATGTGCTGCACGCGCCAATAACCCCTCTTTGCTTTAAAACATATATATGTGTGAAATTACAGTGAAATCACTAAAAAAATGTAATTCCAGAAAACGTGTGGAACCAGGCTGTGCATGGGGAATGGTATTTGGGATGTCTGCTCTCTGTGACTGCTACCGGGCCCCCGGCGCCCACTCTGCCAGATGGCCCGTCCAGGCGCATTGATCCCTCATCTCCTGCCCTGGCCATGAGTCTCACCCCGGCATTAAGCATGGCAGGCAGCTCCTCTCCTGTCCTGCTTCCTTCTGCTTGTTTGCACGTTGCCTCCCTTTGCAATAGGCTAGAAATCTGCCTGTCCTAAAATACACCACTTTGTACAACCTTGTGCATACCAAGAGCTGGGCTTCGCAAAATGCTCCATAGACACATTTGGTGCAACTGCCGTCTGCTCCCATAAACCACGCGTGTTTGATCTGAGCTGTGGATATTTTATAGCTATCAATAGAAAAGAATGTAACTGTCCTGACGATCCTTTAGTAACGAGAGAGGAATGTGGCTCCCTATTTTCTTGGGTGTTGGCAATTTCATAACTACTTTTAGAAGCGGAAGAGAATTCTTAGCCAAATTCTCAGGGATTCTTACCTCTGGGCACAGGCCAACTAAAACTAGAGTGAGAATAAGGTCAAAAGAAGTATGTAAATAGAGCACTTTGTCTCCAGGTATCCTTACTCAATAGCTTCCTACTCGGCTGCCAAAAGAAGTTCTTACTATAATTTAACTAGGGATGATGGTGAAGCTGTGGAGAGCACACAGATCATCTTCTCCCTTGTGATTCCTTGGCTTCTGTTTGCAGAACGCCTTTTTAGGGTGGTGGTCCATGGCAGAAAAACAAAAAAATCAGCAGAAGGAAAGGAGCTTCCAATCTTGAGGGAGCTAATGGGACTGACAGCTTGAGAAAATCCTTTGATTTGGAGACACTCTGAGACAATTTTGCTGACAGACAATATAGATGAAAGTGCAATTTTTAAAGGGTCATTCTGTAATAGCAAAATGTTTTCCTCTTAAGAGCCCTGGCCTGTAGTATTGAAGTAGACTGTTCCACATGATGAAGGGATTTTTTTTTGTCTTCGGTTAAATGCATTAGCCTAGAATATTTGGCTCAGCAGATTCATATGTGTATCTTAAGAATGCAACAGAAAGTTTTCATTGGTTAGTTACATGCCAAGAAGCTCATGACTGTCCAGAGCTCAGATTTCCAGCTGCAGGCCAGTCTGCAGAGCTGGATGTTAACCTTCCTTGCCAAAGGCCAAAGAGGGTAGCAGTGAGAAGCAGAGCTCCAAGAAGGCCCGTTGGGTCTTGGTTGCCTCATGGAGTAAAACTCTCACAAAATGCTTGTGAAGAAGGGAGATGATGGCTCAGCTCTTCCTTTTCAGAGCAAAGTGGGTTAGAGGCAGACTGCAGGGTCAATCTGTATAATACCCGAAATAATGCAGATGTTGTAACCAATATGCTCACTGAAGAGGCAGTGAACATCTTTAGGCACAACATATATCACACCAGTCATTCCAAATACACATCAGAGTTGTGAACTATGTGAAAAGGGTTTCACCCAGCCACTGCAGGAAGAGGTAAGACATGTCCCTATTAATGATTTCTACCTCAGAAGTTGTTTTATGACCACTTTGTGTGTGTGTGTATGTGGTAGGTACCTGTTAAAAAGGCTGCAGATGTCTTAATCAAAGATTTGTGTCCATATCTATTGACCTTTTCCCTGCTAAGATGTTGATATCCTTTTCTTACACTACACTGTTTACTTTCAGGGCATTGCTGCAGATCCTGATCAGAATCTTATCAGATATCTTCACTGTACCTACCATGAAGCTAGTGATGTTCTAGCAATAATACAGCTTCCTCACAAGCTTTCACTGCAGGCCAGCTGTACCAGTTCCATTAAATTGCACTGCCTAAATTTAATGTCACCCGAAAGATACATGTTTATGACCATTTTTCATGTGATAATTGGCTAGGGAATGCCACAAATTCAGGACTGCTTGCACAGCAAAGCATGAAAATGTCAAAACTTTTACCTAGAGGGAAATATTCTAAATTACCCTTAAGGTATGGCTTCCATTTCAAAAACAGGGCCTGATTCACTCTGTATATGCTGCAATTTCTTGCTCCAGAGAAGGTTCAGCTATTTGGATGGACATTAAGTCAATTTGGAGTTCTTTAGAAAGCTTTTCTTCATTAATGAGTTCATGATATGCTTTCAATTCTAAGAGAATGGCAGGTCCCTCTCTTCTCAAGAAAAATGCCATTCTCATACAAAAAAAACCTAACTCATATTCTTGTAAAAAAAAGTTTCAGAGGAATGCAAGGGAACTCCACTTGAATGAGGAAAGAAACACATGTAATGTCACTGGAAAAAAAGCTTCTGTTTGTTAGTAATGACTTAATGCCAACATGTTGTCAACTGGATTTCCAATGCTGATTTAAATGTGAAAGGGTCCACAGTAATCAGTAATATACTGATTGTATCTGCTTGGCCTACTGTTAGGCCAGACCATCCAAAGGTTAAATATTTGCTGTGGCTACTACCTAAAAGGCAAGGCCTCCCTTACTGCATATTTGGAAATGATGGACCAGACATAGTGAAGGGCAGTATGCATGGGTGTAACTATAGTTTGTATTCATAGTGTGTGGGTTTTTAACCTATCTCCAAGAAGATCATTGAGATTTGCTTAATTGACACCTGTATGTTTCTGTGAAATGCTTTAGAGACCACTGTTGTGAGACAAGCTCAGCAGAACAGAGCTACTCTTGTACAGGTATGGTATGGTATCTTCTTTAAAATAGCATCTGCCAAAGTATATCTGATAGTTTGATTCAGCCCCAGAAGAGCTCTGGTTCCTCTTTGTATCTGCTGTGTTTTTCCATTCTGGGAGACGTAGATACTGATTTTCCTCCTCTTCATTCCAGAATAAATATACTTTTATAGGTTCTGTGATGGATTAACATTTTTGCAAATAACATGATGAAAATAGAAAGGTTTTGTTGGTGAAAGATATTTTTGGATAGAAATCTATTTCTCTCCCAAAGTTTCGCTTAACAAAACTTAAATATTTCTTGCAGCAAATCCCAAGATATCCAGCAAATAATAGATACTAACTCCTGTGGATTTTTATGTGTCTCTGGTTCTATACAGTTAAATGGAGCTAAATATAGAACTTAGGAGCTCAACTTTATGCTATGACCTAGTAGTAAAAATACAATATTTAGGAGTATAAATGCTAGAAGAATTCAGAGATTTGAAAGAAATGACCAAATTGTCTCGAATTATAACATACATACCCCAGCCCAAGAGGTAATACCAGTGTAAACGCTGCTCTTCAGCAAACACCGCCACCACAATTAAAGTGTGAAGATAAATGCCTTCGCAGAGCATCCAGAAATAGTTGCAGCCCAGCATGTACTGATGAAAGAATTGCAGCACTTTGCAGCTTACCTGTTAGATACATGAGATAATGTTATGTACCTGACCTGATTTTTTCAACTAAGCAGGCAAACAAACACTAATACTACGTTATAAGAAATAAAGTGAAATAAAAATTCCCAATTCTTGCTAAGTTTGTTCAGAACATATCAGTGATGGGGATTTGAAACTTTAATAAATGACTGAAAAAATTACCTCTTTTAAAATAGTAAACATATACATATATATGTTATATACACATAACAGCACTCCAAAAAGTACTATATATATAAAAAAAGCCATTAATCCATTTCAAAACTTGGCAGTCTAGTAGATTTTAGAACTCAAGCAAGGAACTTGTTCTGCAAGTACAAGAAAGGCTGCAAAAAGGAGACCAAGAATTCCAGCCTGGACGTTTTCATTTACCTTTAATCACAGTTTTCTAAGATGTACTCAGCTCTCCCATATGAGTCAGAGTCATTCACTCTTTAAACTGCAGCCAGCTCAGAGCTTGCTGCTTAGCAAAGGAGAAGTGCTGTTGGCAATGGAGATTTTTTTGGTTAGGTGTTAGGAATACTGGCTTGGCCTCTTTGCAAGAAGACAGTTTTACTTTATTTTGTCCACATAGAAACAGGACACATGAAGATAAATGGAGTCAGAGAGGTAAAAATAGCCAGGCTGTGCTTTGGTGCCATATTTTGTAAAGGCTCTTCTTGCCTCTGCAGCCACTGTGCAAGACTTGAACCTCATTTAAAACACCTGGGCCGTGATGCCTTTGGGTTACACCCAGGTGAGAGCAGCACTGTCTTCCAGGGACGGTCACATCCTGCTGCTCTACTGAACATACAGCGTGGGGACACAACTGGGAAGCATCATTACTCCATTTGAGCTCGCTCTTGGGCTTCTTTTCCACAGAGACCAGCTGACATGGGATGGAATGCTTGCTCCAACACAAAGTCATGAAGAAGTTCACAGGTGACCAAGTGCTGGGGAATGAGGAGGTGGGAAATGGTTCCTGCCTGCAGTGCAGATGCAGATGAGGTTACAGAGATACACCTTGACAAGAGATTGTGTCTTTGATGTGCTGAGAATATTGCAGGGGTAAACGTCGTGCGTGATACTTGCTTTTTCTCCCAGAGAGCCAGTTGGTGTGGGACAACGTAGCTTCTCCTTCTCCACCTGCTCCTCAAAACAGCAAGGCAAGTCCAGCAGCCCATTGATGGTAGACTCCGCAACGCAGACTACAGACACTGTACATGTGGATCTCCTGTCCCTCAGCACCCCAGGAGCTTGGCATGAGGTATTGCTGGGCCTGCCAAAGCCCTGGTCGTTGCTGGGGGACCCCACGCTCATCGGATACCTGGTCACAGCAGTGATGGTGGCGTGACAGCTGTCATTGGTGGGAAGGGGAAAATACTCCTTCCCTTCATTTCCATGTTGACTACTTGGACTGTAAGAGATGATTTTAGGATTTACTTGTCTCTTTAAAGGAACTCCAGCCTCATCTGTTAAGCTAGTAAAGCACTGCCCACATGGTACCTCTGTGGAGGACCCAGGCTGCTACTCTGGACCAGAAAAGCTTGTTCCACAGCCATTCAGTGAACCATCCTTTTTCCTAACAAACGTCAAACCACAATCACCAGTGCATTTATTCCTGTTTTGATATTTAAAGTGCAGATTGCTGCTCACGATAATTTAGGATTGATAAGATTAACATAAAAGACTGTTTTTTTGTTATCTTTTTTTCCCACACACTGTAGAAAGCAGAGTGAATGGTTGCATTTTCTTTTTTTCCATAGTGAGTCTGAAAAGTATGCAGAGAAAGGGTTGTATGTAAGTGGTCTGAAAAGATTTTTTTAAAAAAGGAAAAATGAATAAATGTGTTCATTAAGGCTTTTAAATCATCCTTGGGCTGTTTTTCACAGGTCTGGGTCAATACGGTTCTTGCCTCATCTGCTCAATCCAGGCTCCCAGCTTGTGGGCAGCCTTTCTCCATTCTCCCCTTATTGATCACCCATCCTCTCGAGAGCTGCCTTGACTGTCAGATACACTGTGCTTTACAAAGGCTGAACTTAATCTGCCTGGCACTCTCACATAAGTCAATGAATGCCAGCATGTAAAATGTGCATTAAGTTTCTGTGTGAAAACAGTCATTTACTGGACAGGTTTGATAAAGTCACTCACTTTGGAAACAGTGCCACACTGCAGCCCTGACAATCCGAGGTGGGCAGACCTGCACAGGTGAATTCTGCAATAATATCTATGAACTATTCTGAAATTCTTCATTTTAACTTAATGCCTTCACTGCTTCATATTTCCCAGCTGAAAAGGAGATGAGTATGAAGCATTCTTGCCTTTCTTTGCTAGCTGTTTACGGGTGTTCACCAATGCTCTAAACAGAGTTTTACTGAACATGTAATTTGAACAAAATGATTCTTTGTTGTATTTTTATCTGTAGCTCAAACAAACATACACATCTAAAGGACATTTCCTGAACATGAACAATATTTGTTTCTTGAAGAACTACATATCTAAGACTTCATTTCCTCAATATTTCTTTCTTTCTTTCCTGTGCTGTGCATGTGAACTATCATTTGTGGCTTTTAAAATAAAATTAGAGATCTATCTTTTGAAATAATAGCCATGCAGACAGTTCATGATTGCTTTGGGGAATGCAATCACTTGCCATACAGTAAGTTAAAGAATGCTGGTGGCAAGGCATGAGGGATGGGTGTGATTAGTACTTGGATCCACATCACATTAGTTTGAGAATGAACGTAAAAAAGTTAGCATGAATAGTTTAAGCACGACAAAGCATCAAGATGAACTTTGTTAAATTCATATTAATCATAGTGAAAATCAATCCTTGATCATGATGAGCTAACAAATGCAACATGTTCTCATCTGTGGTTAAGTGGTGCAATGGAAATATGATCCTACAGTCAAAACAGAGAGTTTTCCTTCAGTCAGAGCATGTAAAAGAAATGAATCTGCTTGGAAAGAAATGAACATAAACTTACAGGGTTTCCAACCTGAAGCCATGCATAATACAAGCAAAACATGACAAAGTTACCACATGTAACATTAGTGTTCGTTAGTCTGAGTTGGGAAAACTGCTAAAAAATTAGTAAGTTTTATGAAATTTTACTGAATTTATTTTTAATTTAATTTAATTTTAATGAATTTAATGAATTTTATTTTTAATGAAAGAAGTAAAATGAAACTTTTTCATGATGACACAGGAGCAAATCTTCCATTATTCCTGCGCTTGACAACAGACTGATTGTAAACTTTCAGTGAAAATAAGCACGTCTAGGAATTTTGTCTTCTGTTAAAATGGAATATATCTTGCTGCCAGTTGTCTGAGGCAGTCTTTGGCCCTGTTGCACGTTGTAGAATATGCAGCACAGTCAAATCCAGGACTCAAAAGGCTATCACGACACCAATACTTCTAGTACTTTTACTACTGCTGTTACTATAACTCATATCATGAAAGAGAGTAAATTGTCTTTACTTCTTGGTCTGCAGTGTACAAGTAACTTAATCTTTGATTTATAATTCATAAATAGGGAGCTCTGATAGGAAATAACCAGTCCCCTCCACTGCAGTTCAGAGACTACTGCTTGGGCTGGTGCATTTTTCTCTTAAACAGAGGAATCATGAAATGTTCCTCTTTTTGGAGAGTGTGGAGGCTGACAACACTTTGCTGCACTGTTTGGTGGCTGTCTAGGAAAAGAAAATGTGATATAGACAATTATAAGGAAAACAAGCAGAAAAGTCAAGTAAGCACTTGAGAAAGGAGCTGGTGGCTCTAGAATGAACCCTTTCCAAAGCTGTCTGGAAAGAGACTTGGACTATGAGCAAGGAGATTGCTGCTTGCTCTTTGTTCCTACTGCACTGTGCAAATCTTGCTAGAATTTCTGCAATACCTGGGAGCATCTCAGCTGTGATACATAGTGAAAACACTTCAAAAGGATGCTGGAGCTTTTTCACAAAGAAATAAGGTTTATTTTTATGAGAAGGAGCTATAACTTGTGTCTATGATGCACTGCAGAATTTATTTACATATTAGAAATACTATTTAATGTTCCATTCTTATCTAAGGAGTCTCAAAGATTCATCTGCCAGTGCAGATACAATGCAATGTGTATCACAGTGGAGTGTAACACAGTTGGCTAATTGAACAGCCCTTCATCATATATGTTTTCCACTTTTCTGTTAAGACAAGCCTTATTAACTGGTTAATAGCTTATGGACAGAGAGCAGTGCCATTAATTACCATTACTAGGCATTATAGCAAATCAAATCAAAATACTCAGATGATATAAAACCTACTACCATTGAGGACAGTATTCTAACAAAATGTAGTATTAAATAAATTACAAATCTCAACTGAGCAGCTTTTCTAGTAATTCAGTCATAATAATAGCAATAAAACAAACAATCAAACAAATAAATAAAAACAGCTCAGTTTTGCCATGGAAAAGAAAGATTCCTGTGTACTCTTTTTTCCTTGGTGCTTTCCCTGGTGAAGGGGCTCAGGGTGGCAAATTAGGAGGTTTGGGCTTTACAACAGTTCTTCATAGCTGTCAAAGTCTATGAAAAATGAAAGCAACGTGGTTTGTCAGTGTACATAATAAAACCAATTTTCAAATGTTCTATAGCTCCCGAAATGCCCCAGACTCACTTTGAAAGAAGAAAGCTGGGGAGAATAGGCCAAACAAGGTTATTAATTTTAAACCAAGCCAGCCACATGGACCACTACTCTAGTTGTTCATTTCTTTGTTTAAAGGAAAATAAATTTGTTTGACCTCACTTAGGATTAACTAGTGATTAACTTCACTTCTCTTAACTTCCCTGGGGCACAGCAGTAAAGGGCTCTCCTTATGGAGAGTTTCATACTGCTGGCCACAGAGGCCAGGCATGATTTATTTGAACTCAATCTGAAGGCAATAAAATATATACTAAGACATTCTTTACATTTAAAGGAGTAACTTGAAGTTTGATTACTGACTTGCCACATGTGTTTTTTT